AATGCCCAGCGAGGCCAGGGTCATAGAATCATAGAATGGTTTGGGTTGGAAGGGACCTCAAAGATCATCGAGTTCCAACCCCCTGCCATGGGCAGGGACACCTCCCACCAGACCAGGTTGCTCAAAGCCCCATCCAGCCTGGTCTTGAACACCTCCAGGGATGAGGCATCCACAACTTCCCTGGGCAACCTCTTCCAGTGAACAGTCATGAAACGATCTTGTTTGGGGTCTTAAATACTGCAGCAGCTGAAGGCACAAACACAGCTAAGGTAACCTGCCAGGAAAAAAACCACCCACAAACAACCCCCAAAACCTGAATCTATAATAAAACGTTAACAGACTACACCCTGTTTATGCTGTCCTTGCTACTAGCAGCAGCTGTGCAGCGTGTTCTGTAAACAGTCATGAAACGATCTTGTTTGGGGTCTTAAATACTGCAGCAGCTGAAGGCACAAACACAGCTAAGGTAACCTGCCAGGAAAAAAACCACCCACAAACAACCCCCAAAACCTGAATCTATAATAAAACGTTAACAGACTACACCCTGTTTATGCTGTCCTTGCTACTAGCAGCAGCTGTGCAGCGTGTTCTGTAACCAGCGTGATGTGCGCTGGTAGCCCAGAAAGTCAACCACATCCTGGGCTGCATCAAAAGAAGTGTGGCCAGCAGGGCCAGGGGGGGGATTCTACCCCTCTGCTCTGCTCTGGGGAGACCCCACCTGGAGCACTGCCTCCAGCTTTGGAGTCCTCAGCACAGGAAGGACATGGACCTGTTGGAGTGGGGCCAGAGGAGGCCACAAGGATGCTGGGAGGGCTGGAGCCCCTCTAAAAAAAAAAAAAAACAACAAGAAAACATGGAGCCTTAGACCATGTTTATCTTAATAAATGAAATCTTTTGCTGGCTGGACTCTTCCTGCTTCTGGCAAGCTGCTCTCACACCGCTGAGGCTGCTCTGTGCTTTGGGTGACTCGAGGAGGCAGCAGGAACGTCAAGAGCTGTAACAACCGAGAGGGGAAGGAGGGTGTGAATACACACATCTCATCTCCTGGAACGCTGCTGGATGCTTCGAGGGAGCGTGGAGATGGCCTCCGTGTGCTTCCTGCAGCCGCTGGAGAACTTAATTCACGGATGATCTTTTTTTTTGCCAAATTGTGTGAACTGGGGACGCCTCTCCCCTTTCAGTTTCAACTCCACTAGTTAAATCTCAGACATTACTGATGTCGTAGAAGGTAAATTTGCTGGAGAAAATTGACAAGAGAGCTCTTTTAGGGTTATTTTATCAGCGCTGTGAGGCTTCTTAGAGACCCTTGCCCTGTACGATAAAGCAAACAGAGCAATTACTGTTATAAAGATAAGATTTGCCTGCAAAATGATGTTGATGTTGTTTCTTAGAGCAAATCCAGTGGACAACAAACTGATCGTGGATGCTGCTTTCTTGGAGACGTGGGGACGTTAATTTTTTTTTTTTTTTGGAAATTATAGTGGTTTCTTTATGCTACTGATTCCTTTCGTTGCTAATAGTCTGTAAAACAACAGGAAACCTGGAACTACTAGAGCGATTGGTTGTAAACACTGGGCTTATGTTCAACTGTATACTGATTATTTTTTTTTTTTAATAAAATGAACTGCTGCCTTTCTTAACTTGTGGCTGAGGAAGGATTGGAGAATTCACTGTCTCCAGACAAATCCGTCGGATGAGGTTGTTGTTGGGGTCACTGAGTGCTTGAAAGTGTTGGGTGACGTGGTACAACCTTGTCTCTTACCCCTTCTTCTGTAGACCTTTGGGATAGCAGGTGGCTCTCAAGGGAGTAACGTTATATGTAGAGAAAATTGATAAAAGGTCTGTATTATAACTGGGGGAGCTTCTTTCTCTGTTCTGCTTTGGTCATTTTTGGGGTGAGTTTAAACCCGTTCTGGAGTAACCACTCATCTCCACCAAAAACCCGCTGTGTTGCACAGAAACTCATTCCTGCTTCTTGCTGAGACCTGCTGCTGGCTCAGCCCTTTCCTCCCTGCGCCTGGGTTTTAATTCAAATATGTTTTTCCTGTTTGTTTTGCTCCACAATTCGTAACAGTTCTTACACTAGTTTTACCGTGTGTAGATGGAGTTTGTGGGGTTTGTGAGGTTTGCTTCTGTGGTGCCTTCTCCCATCCTTTGTGCTCCAGGATGGTCACCGTTTGACACAAAGCTGAAGTCCATTGCCAAAATCTGCAGCCTCTCTCCCTTTTTGTGTATCTATTTCATCTCCCTGTAATATTAAGAGTTTCCCCTCGCAAAGCTTGTGTCTAAAAATTAATTCCTTGGGCAAAGCCATAAAGCCACCAGCTGGAGAGGGATATGATCTGATGATGAGCTCCTCTGCTTGGAGCTTAGGTGGAGGTTGTCAAATGGAAGGCCACTATGCTTGAATAATTCCTTTGATAAGGACTTTGTTTATATTTCCTCTGGAAGACTCGAGGTGGCATGTGTGGGAAGAAAGGAATTAGGGGCTAGTTGTCACTTGATCTAAAATCTCATATGGCTCTGGTTTTAGAGATTTGGCAATTGACTTTTTTTTTTTTTTTGACAGCACAGGATTAAATCCGATCCACAAATGTGTTTAATGTCTCCAACATCTCTTTAACTCCCTTCCCCACTCCTTCCTCTGCACCCCATTGAGATGTGAACTTTTGTGCACGTGAGGCATATCTGTGAGCAAGCACACAAACTTATTTTTTCTCTAGCAGGATGTCTGCTAAATTTCCCCCAAGAAGGTAAAAAAGGGTTATTTGTGTGTGTTTAAGTCACCCTTCTGGATTTGCTGTTGCATAATGGGAAGAAATTGAGCTTTGGAGTCCTCAACACAGGAAGGACATGGATCTGTTGGAATGGGTCCAGCAGAGGGCCACGAAAATGATCAGAGGGATGGAGCCCGTCTTCTATCATGGGGGGGGTTCAACCTGGAGAAGAGGAGGCTCCAGGGAGACCTTATAATGGCCCCTTCAGGTACCTGAAGGGGGCCTACAGGTGAGATGGGGAGGGACTCTTGATCAGGGAGTGTAGTGATAGGATGAGGGGTAATGGTTTTAAATTGAAAAGGGGGAAATTTAGACTAGGTGCTAGAAAGAAATTCTTTGCTGTGAGGGTGGTGAGACACTGGAACAGGTTGCCCAGAGAAGCTGTGGCTGCCCCATCCCTGGAGGGGTTCAAGGCCAGGCTGGATGGAGCTTGAGCAACCTGGTCTGGTGGGAGGTGTCCCTGCCCATGGCAGGGGGTTTGGAACCTGATGATCTTTAAGGTCCCTTCCAACTCTCACCATTCTGTGATTCTATGATTCTAATTATAATTAGGAGGAAAGTAATTACCTTACACATAATCCTGCCTTTTCTTGTCTTCTGAACACATTTGTTTGGTTGTTTTTTTTTTTAAATAGTCTCTTTATCTTTCTACCTGGGCACTTTTTTTTTCTTGGACAGAACATAGCAACATCCTCCACCTCCCCTTTCAGCCTTGGAACTGGATGATCTTTAAGGTCCCTTCCAACCCAAACTATTCTATGATTCTATGACTCAGCCTTACGGTTCTGTTTTTCTCAGCATCCCTGGTTTCTTAATGTATCTTCTGCATCTTCACATGATGAGTCCAGAGTGTTTCTTCTCTTTTCTGAATGGCAACAGAGGTCCAGCTGAAGGTCTTCATTGCAGTATGTCCCTCCATGATGATTTCTTGTTTAAAAGCCTGCCTGTTATTCCCCTCAAACACTCAGCCACAGGCAAATGTTACTAGTGGTCCCCACTATTCTTTCTCCAACTCATCGATATTAATTAAAGAGGGAGCTACCCTGATACCTGGATGTGTTGTCATGGTCTCACCATGCTTGTTCCCATTTGGACAGCAGGAGGGATTCTAGCTATTGGATGCTCTTTTTGTCTCCCTTCTGGTGGAGGGGTCACAAAGCTCTTTGGAATATGCATGGCTTGTGTTAACCAGAGCAGTTTGGTGTTACAACATTTTGCCAGATAATACACCTTACCAGACGTGATGGAACAAAGCTTGTGAGATAACTTAATCATCAAATGGTCTGGGTTGTAAGGGACCTTTAAAGATCCAACCCCCCTGGCATGGGCAGGAACACCTCCCACTAGACCAGGTTGCTCAAAACCCCATCCAACCTGACCTTGACCACTTCTAATGATGGAGCATCCACAACTACTCTGGGCAACCCGTACCAGTATCCATCAACCTATCAACAGTTACTTCACTGAAAACCTGGTGTCTTAGTCTGAACTCAGGGTGAAAGGGGAGGGTGAAGCTGCCACGCTTTTTATGACATGGATGAGAGGAGTGGTTCATGTGTTCCTTCTGTCTAATTTGCCATGGGGGTAGAAAATGTAGATCTTTGTGAAATAAATATACGATTGGGAGCACTCAGACCTCAACTGTGAGATAATTCCCATTTTTGTTTTCCCTTCTTTCCACTAGTTTGTGTAGTGGGTGCAGTTTTGGATGTGTTGCTGCCATATGAGTCTCTAATGAAGCATTAATCACTGGCAGAATGGCCGTAGTTGCTTTGCAAATGTCTAGTATCCATAGAAGGCCAAGGCAATGCTTCCACCAAACCTGTGATAACAGGGAAGAGAGAAATGAGGGGCGATTCCTGAAGGAATCCCTGTGTTTGAACCACAGAGGTTGTTTTTTCTACACCTTCTTTCCATACAGAATTCCAGTATAGATTTTGCAAGACTTTATAATTCACCGGGGGAACTTGCTGAGTTTTGCTCGGTCTTAAACGTGCACAATCATTGGGGAATTTACATGTGTTGGGTGCAAATCTCTCCATGGCTTCAGGCGAGCCCCAAAAGTTTGTGGTGGTAACATCCCCTTCGGTTTCACCCCTTCAGAGATCAGAGTAGGTTGTTAGACTTCACATGGGTCTGGGTGCCAATATATTGAGTAGCCACCAGATTTCTGGGGCACGTTCTTGAAAAATTTAACCCTTTTTCTTTTTTTCTTCTTCCTAGCACCAGTTCCTGAAAATTGCAAAGCCTCTGTCTAGTCTCACTCCTCTGATTCTTGCGGCGAAAGAGGCGGCCAAGAACAACCATTAAAGCAGTGGAGTCGGCACAGTCGTCGTGTCGAGACTTTTAGGTGTTGGTTCCAGAGAATGAAATTATTCAGGATTACCTGTCCCTCTCCCCTTCTACTCCTGCTTCACAGGGGTGTTCTTAAAACTTTGATCTGCCCCAAAAGGTGGCAGAGTTTTTGCTCACTGAATGTGGAAGGGCACCCAACAGGGACACTCCTGCTCTTACGTAGGGAACCATCTTCCCATCCTCATGATGGGGGCGAGAGGGGAAGAGTCTTTTCTGTGGTTGAGAAGGTCTTTCTGAGAACGTCTTAACCTGACCTACACGTAGCGAAGCCAGTTGTTTTTCCTGTTTCTTACTGTTGTTTATTTAAAAAAAAAAAAAAAACAACAAGAAAACATGGAGCCTTAGACCATGTTTATCTTAATAAATGAAATCTTTTGCTGGCTGGACTCTTCCTGCTTCTGGCAAGCTGCTCTCACACCGCTGAGGCTGCTCTGTGCTTTGGGTGACTCGAGGAGGCAGCAGGAACGTCAAGAGCTGTAACAACCGAGAGGGGAAGGAGGGTGTGAATACACACATCTCATCTCCTGGAACGCTGCTGGATGCTTCGAGGGAGCGTGGAGATGGCCTCCGTGTGCTTCCTGCAGCCGCTGGAGAACTTAATTCACGGATGATCTTTTTTTTTGCCAAATTGTGTGAACTGGGGACGCCTCTCCCCTTTCAGTTTCAACTCCACTAGTTAAATCTCAGACATTACTGATGTCGTAGAAGGTAAATTTGCTGGAGAAAATTGACAAGAGAGCTCTTTTAGGGTTATTTTATCAGCGCTGTGAGGCTTCTTAGAGACCCTTGCCCTGTACGATAAAGCAAACAGAGCAATTACTGTTATAAAGATAAGATTTGCCTGCAAAATGATGTTGATGTTGTTTCTTAGAGCAAATCCAGTGGACAACAAACTGATCGTGGATGCTGCTTTCTTGGAGACGTGGGGACGTTAATTTTTTTTTTTTTTTGGAAATTATAGTGGTTTCTTTATGCTACTGATTCCTTTCGTTGCTAATAGTCTGTAAAACAACAGGAAACCTGGAACTACTAGAGCGATTGGTTGTAAACACTGGGCTTATGTTCAACTGTATACTGATTATTTTTTTTTTTTAATAAAATGAACTGCTGCCTTTCTTAACTTGTGGCTGAGGAAGGATTGGAGAATTCACTGTCTCCAGACAAATCCGTCGGATGAGGTTGTTGTTGGGGTCACTGAGTGCTTGAAAGTGTTGGGTGACGTGGTACAACCTTGTCTCTTACCCCTTCTTCTGTAGACCTTTGGGATAGCAGGTGGCTCTCAAGGGAGTAACGTTATATGTAGAGAAAATTGATAAAAGGTCTGTATTATAACTGGGGGAGCTTCTTTCTCTGTTCTGCTTTGGTCATTTTTGGGGTGAGTTTAAACCCGTTCTGGAGTAACCACTCATCTCCACCAAAAACCCGCTGTGTTGCACAGAAACTCATTCCTGCTTCTTGCTGAGACCTGCTGCTGGCTCAGCCCTTTCCTCCCTGCGCCTGGGTTTTAATTCAAATATGTTTTTCCTGTTTGTTTTGCTCCACAATTCGTAACAGTTCTTACACTAGTTTTACCGTGTGTAGATGGAGTTTGTGGGGTTTGTGAGGTTTGCTTCTGTGGTGCCTTCTCCCATCCTTTGTGCTCCAGGATGGTCACCGTTTGACACAAAGCTGAAGTCCATTGCCAAAATCTGCAGCCTCTCTCCCTTTTTGTGTATCTATTTCATCTCCCTGTAATATTAAGAGTTTCCCCTCGCAAAGCTTGTGTCTAAAAATTAATTCCTTGGGCAAAGCCATAAAGCCACCAGCTGGAGAGGGATATGATCTGATGATGAGCTCCTCTGCTTGGAGCTTAGGTGGAGGTTGTCAAATGGAAGGCCACTATGCTTGAATAATTCCTTTGATAAGGACTTTGTTTATATTTCCTCTGGAAGACTCGAGGTGGCATGTGTGGGAAGAAAGGAATTAGGGGCTAGTTGTCACTTGATCTAAAATCTCATATGGCTCTGGTTTTAGAGATTTGGCAATTGACTTTTTTTTTTTTTTTGACAGCACAGGATTAAATCCGATCCACAAATGTGTTTAATGTCTCCAACATCTCTTTAACTCCCTTCCCCACTCCTTCCTCTGCACCCCATTGAGATGTGAACTTTTGTGCACGTGAGGCATATCTGTGAGCAAGCACACAAACTTATTTTTTCTCTAGCAGGATGTCTGCTAAATTTCCCCCAAGAAGGTAAAAAAGGGTTATTTGTGTGTGTTTAAGTCACCCTTCTGGATTTGCTGTTGCATAATGGGAAGAAATTGAGCTTTGGAGTCCTCAACACAGGAAGGACATGGATCTGTTGGAATGGGTCCAGCAGAGGGCCACGAAAATGATCAGAGGGATGGAGCCCGTCTTCTATCATGGGGGGGGTTCAACCTGGAGAAGAGGAGGCTCCAGGGAGACCTTATAATGGCCCCTTCAGGTACCTGAAGGGGGCCTACAGGTGAGATGGGGAGGGACTCTTGATCAGGGAGTGTAGTGATAGGATGAGGGGTAATGGTTTTAAATTGAAAAGGGGGAAATTTAGACTAGGTGCTAGAAAGAAATTCTTTGCTGTGAGGGTGGTGAGACACTGGAACAGGTTGCCCAGAGAAGCTGTGGCTGCCCCATCCCTGGAGGGGTTCAAGGCCAGGCTGGATGGATCTTGAGCAACCTGGTCTGGTTGGAGGTGTCCCTGCCCATGGCAGGGGGGTTGGAACCTGATGATCTTTAAGGTCCCTTCCAACTCTCACCATTCTGGTTTTGTGTTCCCTCTTTTTTCTGGTAGTGATGTGTGTGTGCATCTGTCTCATTGAGTTCCACTTTGAATTCCTTCTGCCCGGTTTCTAGTGGCTGCCTTGGAGGGGCTTTGCCAAAAGCCTGTTGTTCTCCACTGGGAAGATGCAAGACTGAGACCATAGACACGTGTCATCTTGTCCCACCTGTGTCGGGTGGGAAGAGGAGGTGATGCCTATGGTGTGCCTGGGCCTCAGGTTAACAGGCACGTTGTGTTTTCATGTTCTCAGAAAATCTTAAGAAATTTTTTAAGTACCTTCAGTTTAGGAAAATGGAATTATTTTTTGTTGTTCTGAGATACATCCTTTCCTCCACTCTCTCTTCATGCATCACCCGGCATCAGCACGTGTTGGCTTTTGTGTAGCCTTTTACAGCACCTTCCTGTCTAAAGAGAGCTCTTAAATAGCAACTCTGCCTTAAAAAATGATCTCTTGGGCTTATTTTTCTCAGAATGTCTTGACTCTGCTGTGATTTGAAAGCGGCTCCAACGAGAGAACTTCTCTAGTGGCTTTGCTTTTTCTTTTCCGTACTCTGTGAACAGATTCGCCTGAGTTGAAACCATTTTTAATCAGGGCCCTTAATTATTTATTTGCCTGTTAATATTAAAGCCTCTCTTCTGTATTAGAACATAAAATATTCAATTGTTTGAGTATCCTTTCAGAAAATTGGCTTCATTTTTGAGGGATCTTGAGCAGTCATATATCTGAAATGATATAATACGATACAGCTATGAAGGGCTTGAAAGAGGGGAGATTTAGATTAGATCTTAGGAAGAGATTCTTTGCTGTGAGGGTGATGAGACCCTGTCCCAGGTTGCCCAGAGAAGCTGTGGCTGCCCCATCCCTGGAGGTGTTCAAGGCCAGGATGAATGGGGCTTGGAGAACCTGGTCTGGTGGGAGGTGTCCCTGCCCATGGGATGGGAAACTCAATGATCTTTAAGGTCCCTTCCAACTCAAACCATTATGTGATTCTATGGTGGAGGGAGAGCCTCAAACTCATCTTCTTTTCCAAAACACAGAAGATTGTCTTATTTAAGAAGCAATTAGTAGCTTTGACAAGATGCTTCCTGTATTTCAAGAAAGGGCATTGATTTGTATTACTTTAGGTTTTTCTTTAAACAAACCATTGATTTGGATTTCGTCGGGGCCAAGAGGCTTTGAAGAAGGCAGGGTGGGATGCTGAGAGTATGGAGCCAGGGCAGGGATGGAGAACTTGCTGGTTTGGTTGCAGCAGCGACAGCAGACCTTTGGCCATCCCCTAAGTGTCTTAATTGAATGGATGTGTTTTTAAAACCACGACAAGGACATAAATCTGGCCGGTGAGTCATTACGGCCTCTTCTCTAGACGGGCTTTATGCCCCTACCAAACTGCGTTCCCCTTTTAAACAACAGGGGTGCATGGTTTCCTCCAGCAAGGAGGCTCCTGGAGAAAGGAGGTTTCCATGGAGACACTTACTTGATTTAAACAATCTGGTTAGAGCTTGAGAAGGGGCTTGGAGTTGTTGGGGGGGGAGAAGGAGTAAACACCACATAGACACAAACCCCACTTTTCTTGAAGCAGCTGGGGTTGCTGCGGTGTTTTGTTTCCAACTTGATGCCCCTTTTCAGGGACCTGGTTTTGAAAAAGTGCCGAAAAAACGTTGCCTGGTCAGAAATGGGAGGCGTGTGAGAGGCTGTCGCTTCGCCGCCGAGATCTCTGTTAGTATCCAAATCCATCTGTCTCTCGAAATGCGGCGGGTTGGTGTAAGTAGGGCACATTTGCAGCAGAATATCATGCAATAGCGGGCTCCAACGCCTGTGAGTAGGTACTTGCTTCCTTAGAACTTAACCATCTTCGGCTGAGAGTAAAATCAGTCCAGACCAAAGACCAAGAGTCATATTTGTTGGAGCCTCATTCCTACTTAAGGGCTTGTGTCGTCCATTTGTACAGTGGGTGACGGCATCTTCAGTGTTAAAATTGTTAAAGGTGAAGTCTGATTCTCCATTCGTCGTCCCACCATAAAATAACGAGACTTTTTAATGGCTTCTGATTTCAACAGCGATGGAGAGGCTGTAGATGTGTTGGGGGGTTGTAAGCCCAACTGGATCGAGCGTATGGATAATTAATGCTCTGGGATCTCATCGTTTGTTGCTAACGACAGCTCACGATGTCAAAGATGGGAACTTGGAGAAGCGGCTGCCAACTTCGACAGGGAATAACCGGCTGTAACGAAACAGATGGGAGCGGGACAGGAACTCGCTGCCAAAATGAACACCTGCGGAGAGATGGTGGGAAGAGCTACAGAAGAAGATGGAGTTGGTCCAAGGAACGCCTGGGGTGGGATGAAGCAAAGGTTAAAACCTCAGCTGAGGTTTGATAATGTTCTGAGAAACGCAATTGCTGAGGAAATTCAAGAAGTGCCATCTCAAGGCAGGGACGTCTCCGAAGGAGGAGAGCAGGGACTGGAAGCAACATCTGGAGGAGCAGTATGGCTTTGTGTCCCAGCCCGCGCTGAGGGAGCTGGAGCTAAGCCGGGAGGTTCACCAACATGCCAAAACTCAGCTGAAAAGGCAAAGTGGGAGCTGGAACAGAGGAGACGGCCTTGATGTGCCAAGGAACTGAAGAGCGAGGCCGGATTTCACGGGTGTGTGAAGCAGCAGAGGCAAATTTAACACAGGCTTCTGTGGGTGACGACCAGCAGCTCCTTCCCTCTTGCCTTGCAGCATCGGTGCGGTGGCTTCGTAAAGAAGACTTTGTCTTCTACAGGTTTCTGACCACAGCTTTCGCCTATGGGTCTTTGTGTCATGTGCCACCTGGAAATATGGGGGCTGTTGCTGTCTTAAAATCACCACCCAGATAACGGTGTTTCTCTTCATCCTGCCTGGGCATAACTCTCTGGGTTTGTTTCCTGTGCTCAGCCATTTTAAAAGCAAAACTGAAATCTTAAATAAAACTCGAGTTGAATGACCTGGTTCTCCTTCGCTGGCTGTTTCCAAGACCCTTGCGGTGAGGGTAGAACTGAGTGGGGGTGCTTAAAGGAGGAGTTGTGTTTCTCTGACCTATTTTAGCTTAATCAGATCTTACATGATGAAGCTAAAAGCTGTTGCAGCAAGTGTGATTTTTTGCCACTTATTTTAACTTGTTTGTGCGTAGATATTGCTCCGAGAAACGGTCTGGAAGCAGGGTCTAGACCACGGCTTGAGGAGGAAGAGGAGGCAGCAGCTGATGAGGGAGATTGTTGTCTCCTGGATGCTTGTTTTCTCCCCAGGTAGAGCTTGGTGTCTGAGGTTCCTCATACGGAGGGAGAAATCAGGTGAGGGTTT